GTTTCGAAGGCCATACTCAGCTCATTAAGAATTTTTTTTTCACTTTTAAGATTTGTTTCCTTCAATTTTAATTCTAGATTCAGGGGATATGTGTGCAGGTTTGTTACATGGATATTGCTATTACTAATCTTGCTTTCTTTTTTTTTTTTTTTTTTTGAAACAGAATCTCACTCTGTCACCCAGGCTGGAGTGCAGAGGTGCGATCTTGGCTCACTGCAACCTCTGCCTTCCAGGTTTAAGTGACTCTCCTGCCTCAGCCTCCCGAGTAGCTGGGACTACAGGCATGCACCACCATGCCTGGCTCAACTTCTTGTATTTTTTGTAGAGACAGGGTTTTACCATGTTGGTCAGGCTGGTCTCAAACTCCTGACCTCAAATGATCTGCCCACCTCAACCTCCCAAAGTGCTGGCATGATGCTGACATTTGGGATATGATAGAACCCATCACCCAGGGAGCGAACACAGTATCCAATAGGTAGTTTTTCAACCTTTGCCCCTCTCCCTTGTTCCCCGTTTTGTAGTCCCCAGTGTCTGTTGTTCCCACTTTTCTGTCCATAGGTACCCTATGTTTAGCTTCCACTTACACGTGAGAACATGCAGTATTTGGCTTTCTGTTTCTGGCTGCTTCACTGAGGAGAATGACCTCCAGCTGTATCCATGTTGCTGCAAAGACATGATTTCATTTTTTACGACCATATAGTATTCCATGGTGCAAATATACCACATTCCTTTATCCAATCCACCACTGATAGGCGCCTACTTGATTCCATGTCTCACTACTGTGAGTAGTGCTATGATGAACATATGGGTGTGTGTGTCTTTTTGGTAGAATGATTTATTTTCTCACTAAGAAACTGTTCATGAATGCAGCAGTATGTGGCTTCATGGCTGTACTAGAATGGGTTAATAGTATCAGAATTATCTAATATTTGTCACTTAACAGGTTACAAAATGCCTTCACAGGTACCTCACTTAATCTCAATACAGTCCTGAGAGATGGTGATTTTCCCTGTTTTCTAGAGGGGCCCCAAGCCTGAGAAAGCTGGAATGATGCTCTTAGAACAATCAAGTCGTCAAGCTAAGATTCACACCTGTTTTCTGTCTCTTAGTCCTGTGCTCGTTCCGCGTTCTCTGAGCCTCCGTAAGATTTATTGGTCACCTCCTATTCTCTGAGTTGGCTGAGGCTAAAATTAGAGGGGACAGTTACAGCTTTTAAAGCTCAGCCTAGTAAGTCTCACCATGGACATCTTTTATTACTTTTGATATCCAGATGATGGGAATTATGAAGACTGAGCTGCATGACACCAAATGGGTGAATGATCTTTTTAATAGCCTTCTTTTCCCCACTCTTTCCCCGGGATGTTACACAGAGACTTGCAGCTTCCTGCCTCACAAAGGTTTGCTTAAATTGAGACTGTTGAACATTTCCCCAGAAAGTGCAAACTTAAAAAACCAGAGCTGGGTCAGTGGTCAAAGAGATTTACAAGTTAGGACCAGAATGACCCTAGTCCTTATTTGCTCATGACTTGGTCGGTCTGTTTGATTTCAAGGAAAGCAAATGAAAAACTAGAAGCCAAATATTTACTTAGGTCCTAGCTTCAGTCAGAGAACAAACCTGTGAGGAGGCTGCTATCAGGAGGAGGAGTCATTTCATGTCTTTGTACACGTTGTTCCCTAGACTGCCCTTTTCCTCTCGGTTGCCAAACATGCCCCTATTCAGTCTGCAAGGCCCAGAGCAAATGCCACCTTTCTTGCCATCCTCCCCCTCAGCATCCTGCGCCTACACATCTCAAAGCCCTTGTCTCCCTGTATCTTAACTGTTTGCATGTCAATTTCTCCCCGTGTCAATTTCTCGGCATGATTTGCAGTTCTTTAAGAACAGGGGCTATGTCTTTCATTTCTGTGTGAAAGAAAAATGTTGGTTATCAGAGACGAGTCCCAGAGCCCGGAGAGCAGCCCAGTGGCTTTCAAATGTTTTAAGAATCACAACCTAGAATAACAAATGTGTGTTATATCATGATCCTGCAACAAATATGCACATGTGTGCAGATAGAAAGACATGTTTGTAAAATGGAAACGAAATTTCCCACGATAATATACCACATGCAGTGCTATTATCTATTTTCTAGTTTATTCTCTATTAGTTTTTTCAATGTTGATTTGGTGCACCAAACTGATTTTATGATACACTGGTGAATGGCAACTTGCAGTTTGAGAAATATTATTGTAGGTAACACTTCATCTGCCATCCCCCACCATCCTTGTTTTCTGAGTTTCTGTTTGTATCTATTGAATGCTTCGAACTGGAAAAGGAAGGAGGAGTTTTGATTGGGAGATTCAGCAAGAAAGAGAGTGCCAGGGCAGGGATGGAACACAGAGGAAACCATATTCTGCCTGTTTTCTCTCCAGCCCGTTGGACTTGCCTTGAGCTTCTATAAGTAGAAACTGAATCAGACTGTTCACAAGAAAATGTATACAGATGGTCCTTGGCTGACAATGAGTTTACATCCCAATAATCCACCAATAGTTGAAAATATCGTAAGTCCAACATAAATTTAATTCACCTAATATATAAAACATCATAATTTAGCCTAGCCTACCTTAAATATGCTCGGAACACTTTCATTAGCTGAAAACTGGGCAACGTCATCAAACACAAAGCCAATTTTGTAGCAATAAAAATAAAAGATCAAAATTTGAAATCTGAAGTATAATTTCTGCTGAATGCATATAACATTTGCACCATCGTAAAGTCCAAACATTGTAAGTCAAACATAAGTTGTAATTTGAAATTTGGACACAGTGGTCCATGCCTGTAATCCCAGCACTTTGGGAGGCCAAGGTGGACAGATCACTTGAGGTCAGGAGTTTGAGGCCAGCCTGGCCAACATGGCTTAAATACAAAATACAAAAATTAGCTTGGCATGGTGGCACATGTCTGTAATCCCAGCTACTTGGGAGGCTGAGACGAGAGAATCACTTGAACCTGGAACACAGAGGTTGCAGTGAGTCAAGAATGCACCACTGTACTCCAGCCTGGGCTCCAGAGACTCCATCTCAAAAAAGTAAAATAAAAAGGAAAAGAAATAAGTAGTAGGGTATCATCTGTAAACTTCAGGCACAAACAAGGCTACTTAAGGGTCTAGATCAGGGATCTACAAACTACAACCCTCAGGCCTAGTCTATCCAACCATCTGTTTTTATAAATAAAGTGTTATTGACACACAAACATGCACATTTGTTTACGCACTGTCTATAGCTGCTCTGCTACAGCTGCAGAGCTGAGTAGTTGCAACTGACTGTATAACCCACAAAGCCAGAAATATTTACTATCTGGGCCTTGACAGGAAAAGTTTACCAATCCCTGGAATAAATGGACAGTGTTTTTTACCACTCTGGGAGGAAACCGGCATGGCTCTGAGGCATCTAAAGCAGAGTGTTAGGCATGGGCAGTATCTTTCTCAAAAGAGGCCATGTTGGCCTCTTTCCAGCATCCTCAGGCTGGGCTCAGGGCCCCCAGCACCACAGCCTGAGCAGGAGAGCCTGAACAGGGGAGATTCTGGATGGGAACTGCTGGTGCAGGTACACCACTGCCCTTGGAAGGACCTGGGGGCACTTAGGGTGTTTCTGGGACTATGAAGACGAGGGCTCTTGAGTCAGTTGACACTGGCATTTCATTTTCATTCTTGTGCCTGGTGCATGAAAGAAAGATGCTTGGAGAGTGCTAAATAAATGTTTGCTAGATATTTCTTAAATCAAGAAGGAATTCACGGCATGTGGTATAGATACTGAGTTTTATCTCAAAGGCAATGCCAGTGCAGAGTCCAGTGCCTGCAGCCCAGAACAGAAATCCTCTCTCCTGCTTGGAGAATAAGCTACCTTTTTTCAGCCGTTTTGGCAACTAATATCAAGGATGATGCGTATAATAATAATGATTATAACTAATATTTACTGAATGTTTATTAAGTGCCATGCAATATTCTAGGTCCTTTACATGTAGCAATTCACTTTAATTTATTCTATTTATTATTTATTTCTTGTTTTATTTTTTGAGAGAGCGTCTCACTCTGTCACCCAGGCTGGAACACAGTGGCACGATCGCAGCTCATTGCAACCTCCGCCTCCTGGGCTCAAACCATCCTCCTGCCACAGCCTCCTGAGTAGCTGGGACCACAGGCATGTGCTGCCACGCTTGGCTAAGTTTTTTGTATTTTTAGTAGAGTCAGGGTTTCGTGTGTTCCCCAGGCTGGTCTCAAACTCCTGAGCTCAAGCAAACTGCCAGCCTCAGCCTCCCAAAGTGCTGGGATTACAGGTACAAGCCACCACGTCTGGTCACAATTCACTTTAATTCTCTTAATAAAAAGTACCATTTTAATCTCATTTTACAGATGAGGAAACTGAGGCACTGCAAGATTATATAACTTGCCAAATGAGAAACAGCTAATAAGTGGCAGAGTCTGAATTTGAAAAGGGAATGATCTTTGTAGCTTAAAAAAAAATTGAAGTGCTGGGATGAACAGAAATGCTGGACAGCTGTTCTCGGGCCCCTGAGGCCAGAGTGGAGTCTAGCAAACAGCTATCCCCACAGCGGCAGAGGCTGGGGTTTGGTAGCCTCTCCAGAGAGAAGGCAAGAGTTGAAGAATAGCAGAAGCCCATTCATTTCTGGGAGAAAAGGAGACAGCAGACCCTCTAGGAAACCAGTAGTAAATAACTGCAGACACTTCGCTGTAGGCAGGTATGGGCTTGAGCCCCCATAACGAGATGTTTAGGGAAGTGAAGTCTTCTTTTGTAAACACAGGCAACGAAGACTGAAATACCAATTGCTCATCTTTGGGACCCATAGCACCAACATTTGTGTGCAGCACCGAGTAAGTGGTCAATGGATTGTTTGTAGACTGACTGACTTCTCCAGTCCCACCCTAGATGAACTATTGGACCCCAACCACTGAGCCTCTTCTCAGCACATGACTTGGCAGTTGGAATCAAGGACTGAAGCCTGCTGGACAGGTCAAAGGAGTTGCTTTAATTGAGATCACAGGCATCACGGGGATCTGCTCGGCTTCCTCCCCACCAGGGAGAAAAGTCCTTCATTGTTGGCCATGGTGGAAGAATAACTTTGCGAGATCACTTCAAACTGTTCAATCTTGTAGCCAGCCTCTTTCACAGCAGCCTCTACTGCCTCCTGGCCCAGGGGGAGGCTGGAGAACTTCTGCTCGCCAATCATGTAGTAGCTGCTCTTCAGTGCATCCACGATCACCAGGAAGCCACCTGGCTTCAGTAGGCTGCTGAGGTTCCTGAGCGCCCTGCAGTAGGTGGGAAGGTCCGGGCAGGCAGCATCCAGGCACAGCGTGCTGAGCAGGCAGTCAGCCAGGGGTAGGGAGACGGCCCCTAGTGGCTGGCTCTGAGTCACGTCACACTTCAGCACCTGCTTGACCGCCTGCCTCAACCTTTTCTCCTTCTCTGGACCCTTGACTCTGAAAAACACAAACCCACAATCATTGTTTTCTACTGAAGTCATGGGGAACTCAGATCTCTTGAGTCAAAGCTAAAAATGGCAGTATTGTCCCAGAGGTGTTTCCTTAAGGCCACCTCTATCGGGAAAGGAGAGAAAGAAGAACCGAGAGTCCATTTTGGCATTTGAATGCGACCATATCACCTTGAGCTACATGAAATCTCATTATAAAGTGAATAATATGTGAAAATGATAATAATACTACCTAGCAGCCTGCTTCTACCGTGGACTTCCCTCTGTGAAATTATTCTTCCTTTACTGCACAGTATAGTACTCACTTATGTTATACTTGCTCATTTATTAGTATTTATTTGTTATTATACTTGTCCTCTCTGCCAAATCATAAGGTAGCGGCTACTCGAACCATACACAGCAAGTATTAATAATAAAGGGTTTCAAATGCTGAAACATTATCTTTGTAGTAGTTGCTGATCAATAAGAGTGGTGAGGTCTTCCACAGGCATTTTTAGGAACTATTGATCGCTGTCCCACAGCTGTGAACAGGGCATTCCTGGAGAGAAGAAAGCTACATTTGCCATTCTCAGATTCCAAAAACGATTGCAGAAAGTATGTTTTCTGCCAGAGATCATATTTTTGGTAGACTTCCAGGAGACCTGCCCTTTTTTGCCAAATCAATGGCACGTTTTGGGTTTTTTTGTTTCGTTTTGTTTCTAGAGACAGCTTCTTGTTCTGTTGCATGGGATGGAGTACATTGGCACCATCATAGCTCACTGCAGCCTCAAACCCCTGTGCTCAAGGGATCCTCCCACTTCAGCCTCCCAAAGGACTGGGATTACAGGCATGCCCCACCACGCCAGGCTAGCTTTTTTTTTGTTTTTTGTTTTTTGTTTTTTGTTTTTTTGCAACAGAGTCTCGCTTTGTCGCCAGGCTGGAGTGCAGTGGCACAATCTCGGCTCACTGCAATCTCCGCCTCCTGGGTTCAAGCAATTCTAATTCTCCTGCCTCTGCCTCCCAAGTAGCTGGGACTACTGGCACGCACCACCACGCCTGGCTAATTTTTGTATTTTTTATTAGAGATGGAGTTTCACCATGTTGGCCAGGATGGTCTCAATCTCTTGACCTCGTGATCTGCCCACCTCGGCCTCCCAAAGTGCTGGGATTACAGGTGTGAGCCACTGCACCCGGCCGCTTTTTGTGTTTTATAGAGGCAGAGTCTCCTTATGTTGCCCAAGCTGGTCTCAAACTTCTGGCCTCAAGTGATCCCCCTGCCTCAGACTCTCAAACTTCTGGAATCGTAGGCATGAGCCACCACCACACCTGGCCCAATGGTGTTTCTTGAGAGAAAATCGGTTAATGAAAGAAGAGAAGGCAAGAAGAGAAGATGGGATAGAGTGGCTTGGATCCTATTTGAATTTGTTAGAGGAGGAAAGAAGGAATAAACAAATGATCAAAATTAAATAGAGTGCACAAGAGAAACTGGAGAGAGGGGCAGAAAAAGGAGGAAGAAGTAGCAGAAAATCAGAGAAGTGAGAAAGGGAAGCAACATGGAGTGTGTTAAGGACCCAGGCCCCACAGTATTAAGAGTAGGAGTGACCCCTGCTTATTAAGCTCTTGGAAGGAGTGAACCAGCAAAGCACTGTGGAGCAGAGCCATCTCACCATCAGGAAACACATACTTCACCATCTGAGGCAGACTCCAGGAGAAGGCAGACTCCCACTTGGGCATCAAAACTTGACAGAGACAGCAGAGATGGCCCCGCCTTCCAAAAAGTGAGGTAGACTTTCACTGGGAGCATTTTTGGTCATGAGGAAAAGTCAATGGTTTAAATAAATAAAACCTGAAGATTTATCTCCAAGTAGAATGATTTGAGAGAGTGGAAACTAGTCGTGGGCATCTTAAATATTCACTAAAAATCTTAAGCCTAGTGCATATAATCAGTTCTTTGCAAATATGCTTTATGCTTGCTATAATTTTCCATTTAAGAAGCTTAGCAATTAGCATATGAAAAGATGCTCAACATTGTCAACCATCAGAGAAAGGCAAATCAAAACCATGAGATACCACTTCACATGACTATGATGGCTATAATGAAAAAACAAACAAACAGATAATACCAAGTGTTTACAAGAATATGCAGAAACCAGACCTACATACACTGCTGCTGACAATGTAAAATAGTCCAGTTACTTTGGAAAACAGTCTGGCAGTTCCTTAAAAGATTAAATATAGAGTTACCACATGACCCAGGAATTCTGTCTAGGTGTATACCCAAGAGAAATGAAAACATATATCCACACAAAAGCTTGTAATGAATGTTTATAAATAGCTAAAGGGTGCGAACAGTACAACTCTCTGTCAACTTCTAAATAGGTAAATAAAATGTGGCATACATATACAATGGAATATTATTTGGCCACAAAAAGAAATGAAATTCTGACACATGCTACCACATGGATGGACCTTGAAGACACTATGCTAAATGAAAAAAGGCAGAACCAAAAGGCCACATCGTGTATGATTCCATTTATATGAAATGCCCAGAAAAGGCAAAGCTACAGAGACTGACAGCAGAACAGTGGTTGCCAGTAGCTGAGGGGCTTGGGGAGAAATAAGAGTGACTGCTAATGGTACAGGGTTTCTTTTGAGAATTATGAAAATGTTGTAAAATTGATTGTGATGAAGGTTGAGCAACCCTGAAAGTCTACTAAAAGCCACTGATTTTCACCATTTAAATGGGTACATTAATTACATGGTATGTGAGTTATATCTCAATAAGCTGTTATATTAAAAGAGAGAGAGAGATAAGTTTAGCAAGGTGTTGATTTTAGGGAATTCCTATCAACCAGTAAACTGTTATCTACATAGAAAACAAAAATTATCCTGGATTGGGTCTACCTGCTCCTTTATCAAGGCTAGAAATGGTAATAGGGTGACCACTCTTTCCTGATTTGTCTCAGACTTTTCTAGTTTTAGCACTGAAAAATCCCATATTCTGAGTCCCCCTTGCAGTCCTGGACAAAACAGACAGTCATTCTAAAGGTGGGAAACTAGTTACAAAGCTACCACCCAGCCTTGATACAACATGGATGGTTTGATAGAACACTTTAACAATAAAAAAATAAAAGACACTGTGGAAGTGTGTGAGAAACATGCATTTGAATAGACAAATTAATCTAGAACGGAAAAACTGAAATAAGCTATCTTCATATAGGAATAACAATACAGTGTGTACCAAAAGGTAGAGTACTGACCACATGGTGTTTTGGGGGTGTGTTTCTGCATGAGCCTGTATATTGGGAATGTTGTGGAAATGTGTGTTTGATTACATCAGAAGCAGAATGAATCTCTGCGCCCTATTGTGTATTAAGCTATTTGAAACACTTGAGTTACCACAGAACTAGAACTTGCCAGTCAGATGATGGTGCAAATTGTTCCCAAACTGTGATTCACCCTGTCAAGTCTCCAAAGCTCACAGAGAATGTGCCAAGTTGAGAGGGAAATTTGCTAGAAACGCCCAGTGTGGTAGATCCCTGCTTGTCCTTGGACACACAGCAAACATTGGGGAATTAAGTTGCCAAGGCAGCTGTGTAAATCCTGCATACACCTCAGGGCACCAGAGGGAAGTGGACTCAGCAGAGACCCAGCCAATTACCACTTTGCCTCATGTTTAGCTCATGGGGTAGGTAATAAACACACACCGGGAAAGGGCTATGCTGTTTCGCAGAAAGCTAACAGTGGTGTGGCCATTTCTTTAGTTCTAAAAATCTACCCTTTCAAATGAATCAATATGCAAAAAAAGGCAGCCCTGTCCTCTGGAAATATGCATCTATAAAGGCCTGAGGGGTGTGGGGAAGGAGGGAGGGAGGGGAGACAGGATAAGGAGGAGGGCTCCCGGAAGAACCCTTTCTGAGAATGTCTTCCCACATTCCAGGTGAACTATCCTGAGATTTAAAGGCGGTTCCTCTTGCCCTGTCTCAGCAAGGCGGGCAGTGGATCAGAATCTCCTGAACAAGCTGTTTTTCATTGTTCTCACATCCCCCAAACCTCATTCTCAGAAGTTCCTGCAGGCTCTCTTGAGAAAGAACCATCAAAACAGGTCAAGGAAATCAAGGCTAAGTAAGCTTGGAGGTCACTAAGAATTGCACAGGCAAGGAGTACTCATTGGTGCACCTTTGATACAGACCACGCCCCACACTCAAATCAGGTGAATGACATTCTAGGAGGAAGAGTCTGAAAAGCAAAATGCAAGTATTCATGTATTTTCCAGATACGTTTTGAACCTCTATTATGTGGAAGGAAATGGGCTGGGAACTGGGGACACGAGGATGAACAAATGAGAAGCAGATTCTAACCTCATGGAGACTGCAGACGGGTGGGTGGTAGAAGAAAGCATTAACCCAATGATCACTCACAGAAGTGGAAATTAAAACTGACAAATGCGAGGAAGAAAAGGAGCGTGGCACTAATGGGGAGATGTTGGGAGCTCCCCATGACGTAGAGAATCAGGGAAAGCTCCTCCAAAATGGAGTCGGGCAAGCGGAGATAGAGAAGATAAATATGTAGGAGTTAACCAGACTGAAGGAAGCAGGGAGGGCGGGAGGAAATTCCAGTAAGAGGAAACCGCGAGTGCAAAGGCCACATGGAGGGAGGATGCACAGGAGGAGGGTGCCAACGTGGCTGGATTGTGGGCAAACAGGTTGGCAGGCGCCAGACTAGGCAGGGCTTTGTGGACCACAACAGGAATTTTGCTTTTCATTCCCAAAGCTTCGGAGAGTCATTAGGAAGCACTAAGGAGGACAGTGACATAATTAGATTTACATTTTGAGAGGGTCACTTGGGCTGCAGGGCAGAGAATTGAGTAGACGGGCAAGAATGCAGGTGGGAGGCCACTCAGGAGGGAGACAGGGGTAGCTGGGACCAGGCGATGGTAAACACGGGAAGAAATGGGTTAGACAGGAAGTCAGGAAGTAAAATAAGAACTTGATGTTAAGTTAGACTTGG